AACCATAAATGCCTTGAGGTCATATCACGTCATGAAACATCAGAGTATTGTTTCCGCCATCCGGACGACATTATTGACGTCATTCGAATCTTATTGTGACGTAAGGTCGGAATGCGTCACACTAGAAACGACGTCATAGCTGAAGATTATTGGCGTCATTCGACAAATTGTTGTTCCGCTGCTGTTGCCACTGGCTGTCCTTATAGGTTAACATTAAAATTCGTCTCTATATGTGGACATATTCTTCGAAAAGAAATAGAACATTATATTCGTGTTCATGTCATATTATGTTTAATAATTCGTATATAGTTTAATAATTTTATTATAATAATACTGGTGACATTATCAGTATTTGTATTGCAGCTTTGACTAGTTTGAATGGTGTGATTCCCACATAGAACGCGAAAGGGGTTCTCAAATGTGACACAATGACCCACGTCACCTCACCCCTTCCCACCCCACGCACAACACACAACGCACACAGCCCCCTGTCGCGATAACAACATGGCTATTGTCAGCTGATCGGATGTATTTCAAATGCCCTGACAACCCGGAAGTTCTACAAAAGTAGACATTTACAACACAGTTTATTCGATGGTCATACACACATAGTTTCGGGAAGAGACAACAATTAATCAAACCACGATCGAGATTTAAAAACGAGGGTTTTCCCCGTGCTTTCATTATTGTAATTTAAGAAATGTATAGCACCGGCAGACTTCCTGTATACACGTCACGGCGATTGATTCATGTGTTCCTGATTGCACCATGTGCCCTCATAACAGTACATACACTTCCTCTTTAAAACACGGGGGGCACGGGTGGCCCAGTCGTCTAAGGCGACGCAATTCGCTGTGCAGAGTTGCTTCCCTTGGGCACGCCAGAAACCTATGATTGTGGGTTCGAATCCCGGTTCGCCCCGATTATGTTTCTAGGTTTGTCAGCACCATACCCATGCTCGTGGGTTTTACCGAAGTGGTAAACGTCTGAGACCTGCATCACTTCGGGCTTTCCTCCCTTAGCTGACACGATAACTGGAATACTGTTAAAAGTGGCGTTAAACCCAACTCGCTCACTCACTCAATTTAAAACACACATAAATACACATACGTTAACCAAACGTTAGCAGAAATATATTTCGAATAAGGTGATTTATAATGAGGAAATAAATAATACTTGAAGTTTGTTTTCGGTGACAAGAAAGTCGGTTTCTGTTTCTATAGATTTCTGAAGACGTAAACGGACAAGGTTTTAATCCGAAGTTTGGCAGGTTGATAAAACAAACGCCCATCCACGAGTTTCTGTAACGTGTATAACACTGGTTTACTGTTATGATTGTGTGTGCCGCGAAGATAGGGAATTGTGACTTTGGAATACTCCAAAAGTATCTATATCTTTGATTAATATGATTTTTGTTATTGAAATAATTATTTAGTTTTCTGGGGTGACTGGTCTCGGAGGGGACTTTGATAATAATGGTAATATATTCCAGAAAATGCTTGAAGGAGATAATTTGGGAAATTTTACAATGGAATAATATTCACTTGACGTGCTATGGGTTGAGAAAGTCATGTTGGTCGTTCCCACACCAAACGCCCCAATGAAGATCCGGGTTACAAATGGTCTTCAGCAACCTATGCTTGTCGTAAGAGCGGGTAGGGTGGTCAGGCTTGCGAACTTGGTTGATAATTGTCATCGTATACCAATTGCGTGGATCGATGTTCATCACTGGATTTACAGACCATCGTCATATAGCTGGAATATTGCTTAGTGTGGCGTTAAAAGACAAAAAATAAATAGATATACACAAAAATTCGCCTCCAGCTTTCAGAAAAGAAATTGCATGTCTTCAAGGAGAGTCGAAAAAGATAACACCCCTTCAATATATCATAATCCATCTCTAAATGTGCATACACATATTGAAGTTTAATGAGAATGTAGCTCATGTGGTAGTGCCTGAAAAATAAGTGAGTTTTGATTGTTTGCTGTTTAACGCCGAACTCAGCAATATTCATGCTATATGACGGCGGTCTGTAAATAATGGAGTCTGGATCAGACAATCCAGTGATTGACATCATGAACATCGATCGAGGCAATTGGGATGACATGCATCAATCAAGTCAACGAACCTGACCACCCGATCCAGTTAGTCGCCTCTTACGACAAGCATGGGTTGCTGAAGAACTATTGAGACCCGGATGTCCACGGGTCTGAAATACAAGAATCGGGAATGTCATTTTATAGTACGGATGACATATATATTTTGTACGGATGGTAATGTACGTCAGAGATACACGCGGGCATAATTTAGAACAATAACTGTCGTAAAGTATTTGATTGACATACACGATGTCTCTCATTCATCTTGTCCTCGTTAATCGTGACTTCTCAATATCCGGGTGACTGCAACAAGGAAATTGTGTCCTGCAATAGATCACATGTTATTCTGGAACCTCTTTCACCATAAACGACTGACAGTTTTAGGGGTCGGGACCGCCTCCGTGGTCTAGTGGTAGAGCGTCCGTCCGGAGAGGGAAAGTTCCGGGGTTCGATCCCCCGGCGCGTCATACCAAAAGACGCTAAAAGATGGTACTTGTTGTTAACCTCTGGCGTTCGGCATAAAGGTTTAACAAGGACTGGTCGGCTCGGAGTCAGTATACGGTGTCTGAGTTGGGTATTCATGTTAAACAGCGGCATGGTATTTCAGTGGGCTAGCACTATAAATCGGCATCAGTCCGGACTAGTACAGCCACACACATGCATGCACGTCGCTATATAAGTGCAATAATGTTGGACGCGACTTTAAACCCCATTTCACCTCACCTTTTTGACCTCATTGGCCCAGTCGCCCTGATAGTGATTCCTGTCGACACAATACATGTACAAGAAGATTGGTGATCGTCTTACCACTCCGAGTTTGTCTCCCAAATTAATTTCAAAGCGGGTTTAATTCCAACTCACTCACCCACTTAACATTTATTCAAAACTGATATAGTGATACCAGTGTGTGTTGCTGATAATGAATGTTTCAGTAGAAAATAGATTTTTTTAAGAAAAAACAAATTTTCTTAAAAAAATCAAATTCAACCGTGTAATATTCATTAAATTTTCTAGATGTGTACATGATCATACAGTATATATAGACATGAGCATCGAGCTATGACAGAAACATATCACGACTTGCTATTTGAGTGTGGTTTACAAGCGATTATAACCTATAAAGAAAGTATACAAACATATTTGGCTAATAATGAAACAGACAAGACATGTGTTAGTTGTGTTTTAAGCATTACCTGTGTAATGTTTAGACGACTGTTTCCAGTCTAGTAACGTTTTGATAACGTTTGTAATTTTTTTTGTCAAATCCAATTCTTCAAGTGTAGACTTTATTTTCCACGGGGTTTATTTGCGGTTTGTGTTTAGCTGAACAACACGCAAGATAACACCTTAATAACGTTCTTACAGAGTACTCGTCATGACGTCACAGCTCCTGTGTTCAACCTCAAAATGTTCGTGACCTCTTTCAAAAAGTGACTGTTACGGAAGTTGTAAAAAGGTAGTCGGTGTCGACATTCCCCGCTACCTGGTCGGTTGTACGCAATTTGTACACAGCACATGTCTATTTCAATTATGTTACATACACTTTGACAGATGATGACATGAAACTGACAACATGTAAATATCACGACTATCACTGACCTTACAGTGTATGCAATACACAAGCAATGTTTATATTGAAATACAATACGCTGGAGTATTTCATTAACCATAAAACGGAAAATTGGCTACTTTCCCAGACTTGAAATGCATATAGCCGCCATTCCTCTTGATCTATTACATTTGAAAGAAAACGTTGGCGAAGAATCAGATCTTGTGTTAAGGTTTATATATTCAGAATATTATGTTTATTTCTATCTGCAACGGATTGGGTCTGTATTAAGAAGATAATGATCAAAATCGATACTTTTTCTTCAGTAGTGTCAGCTATGATTTTGAAACAGAAAGAAATGAACGCTTATACTATACACGACCGGGTTCGCGTGGGATTGAAATTGACACTGTGCGACCTGTTTTTAGGAGTACGTTATTTCAGCAGTGATGAATATGGTAATAGCTCTGTCGTCCTCGGTAGAGTCTCTTTGGAGAGACAACAGCAACGAAAAAAGATGCTTGGCCCAGACCTAAGAAACCAAATATCATAACGACTTTAACTTCTGTTTTTTTCCCGCTGAATGTTTCGAATCCGGATATATATTCCATTCTCCCCAACGTAGATTTGCTCGGTTGTATATTGTATATTGTACTGTGACAAAATGGTTTGAGCACGCTGTCTTTACATAAATTAAGATGTTTTAAGTCATGTTTATCTGGGGGTCGTTTTATTTTTAGTCCATGTTTATTTCGTGCGTAATGCGTTTTCACTACTTTTCGTTATATTTTTACTATAGTTATATATATATCTAAAGGTATGTGTTATCATATGTGACGAATGTAGTCTTTTAGTTTATTTATATATCTGATAAATACGTATATATATAACGTAATCATTGTCTAGCGATACACCTGCGTCAGAGACCATATAATAGATGGTCTCTCCCTGCGTCTCGTCACCAACAGGTGAAGAGAATGTGCAGGATTTGGTTGACTGAAACACTATCTCACCGCATTTGGTAATATCGGGGATATTTCGTGGAATTTCGTCATTCCGATTGTACTTGTACCGAATATTGAATGTCGCAACTTGTAATCAAGACAAGCTGTTTCATGTTCATTTCACAATGGGGCGTATGTAATGCAAGCTATCGCTCCCTTGACAGCGCGGGATTGTAAATAGATCCTTACACTTTGCAGTTATAGATATTTATTAGTCACAGGCCGAGGCTATTTATAGAATATTCCACGCCGAACTGAATGTTTCTGGTTTGTTCTGGAAGTGTTGCTGTAAACAAAAGTCCAGTGATGACGTGGTAACGAAATAGACACGCATCAGCTGTTTTGGCTACTTGAAGTTGAGTTGTTGTCGGCGACACGCATGAAATGCGGTGACACTGTGAGTCATTGACGAATCCAATCTCGAATGATTTGTTTGTTGGTTAGTGTACAACCACGCTCGGCGCGCTTGCTGACGTCACAGGTCAGATTACCGCGCATGCGCACAAATCCATCGGCTGCTAACAAGCTCGCGCCGAGGCAATACAACCGCCAGTCAGTATCATTCGCACAGCAATGGAGCTACCGGTTTTGGGAGATCGGATATTTCAAGCGGATAACATACAAAAGAAACGTTACCGAAAGGTAAATCTGTGTTACTTATGTTGTGATAAGGTTTTTATTTCATGTCAAGCACGTTTTAGAAGCTGTCATCGCGATATGGATATTTAAACTGACGCCGATATCAGCTTGTTGGCCGCAATGCTGTGTTGACATATGTTTGCCGTGATGCGATCGAGCGTTGCTTAGCCTAAAGGGCAATGAACAACACATGACAGTTGTTTTTTCTTGTTTATTTCAGGGTCGCGTTGAGTATCTTGTCAAATGGAAAGGCTACACACTGAAGTAAGTGTCTTTTTCACGTTGATTTCGCTTGCTAGTTTCATTAATGTTATGATACTGCGCACTTTAATCCTTACACATGCGTATTCCAGCGTTGGGAAAATCAATAAGTAATCCTGAACGGAGCGTAGAATCTTCTAGAAATGTCTCCTTTTCTAATAGGTGTTTACATTGTTAATTTCATGTCTATTTCACAGGCACAGTACATGGGAGCCTAAAGACAACATTCTCGACCCACTGTTGATAGCGGAGTTCGAAGACAAGTGAGTGACGAGTTTAGATAAGTTATTTAAAACTCGCGTCATCTGCACGTGGCGCGGTTGTTTTTGTTTATAGGTACTCCACCTTCGGTAACTTTGTTTGTATTGATTAAATACTCAGGGTGCTTGGAAACTAGCATTCCTGGGCATGGTCGGTGGTGAACTCAAGTTAGTGCTGTCGAGAAACAAACCGGAAGTATACAGCGTTTGTTTTCAAATTTAAATTGTTGACGGATGTTTGTTTCTCGTTTTTTAGGCGTCAACACTGGTATGGGAGAAAACGACAAAAACTGCAACAAAAGAGACGGCAAAGCCAGGTTAGTTTATCAAACAAAATACTGTGAACTTTTTATATTTGTTGCTTTGTATAGTTTTATCATGTGCGTGGCTATATAATCTGAGTGGAATATTAAGTAACATTGATTGACATTAACGTGAATTGAAACATGTCGGGAAAGTGTATATTTATGTATTTTGATTGATACATTGGCTTAAATTAATTGCATATTGAGATGTTATTGAAATTAATCTGAACATAATTATCATTAAATATTTTTTAAATTGATGTATTATGTAAATAAAATTGAGTTGTTGTCATAATTCGTAGCCATAGCAACAAACATGAAATTAGATACCCTTATCAGTTAATTAAACTCCTTATGACCATTTGTCACGTTAATGGGTTTTTGACCGATCCAGTTTGTCAACACGAATTCCCGTTTGCTAAGAATGTCCCGCTGAATGCATGACCAAAATAGCTTGGCATGAGACACGCGTGTTTATCGATGGGCTATTTTTAGCTCTGACAAAGCCAGGCGATTCATGGGGGTGATATCATTAGGCCTTGGCCAGTCGCGCGTTTATTTTGGGATTTACGTATCGCAATGTGTATTTGGAGATGGGTTTCGGCTGTTGGGCCCCGAGCCCAGGACACACACTGAATATAGGGGCGGTGGGGGAGGGTTGGGGGAGCACGAGCATGGAGAGTGATCGAGAGATTTGTGTGGGAGGGTAAGAGAGTACAGTCGCGTTCAGCGTTCAGGTCAGACTGACATTTTCACACGAACGCGAAAGTAAGTTTTGCGGGTTCAATGGATGATTGTATCAAGTGCAAACCGGATTTCAATTAAAAATTTAAAACATCTGTTCCATATGCCTATGCAATTATGTCATTTTATTTGATAGACAAGAAGTAAAAATCAATTTTGGGCCGTTCAAGCAGGTATTCTGTACCAAGTTTTAAAATACTTATACAATCTCTCTTCTATCAATTTTCAAGATATTCCATAAACAACAAAACCCCTTAGAGATTCGCCTAAAGTGTGGAAATGACAGGTTTGAGTGAGCGACTCTACTCATTAAATGCCTGTGAGCCCTCAAGTAGTCTTACTATAGACGAGACAGCTGTTTGTCAAGTATATATCCGGCTTGACATCCTGTAGGCTGAAACATCGTTTCTCGTGTGCTCTACCTAACATACTTCTAGACTATTTCTCTTGTTGCATATAGATGTCGGCCGGAAGTCCCCAGACAAGTGACACAGTAGCAGACGACAGTGACCTCGACGAGCAGGATGGAACACAATCTCTTTACGGCGATAACAGCACGCATCAAAATCCCGAACAACAAGATTCGATGAACAACAACTTTTGGAGGCCATTCTTTGGAGGCAATGATGACTGTGAAAGTCCCATGTCAGAAGACTCCAGCACTGAGAAGGAATCGGACAAGGACAGTGATTATGACCCGGAGAATGATTTAGAGTCGAGTAAACATGTATCACGATCAGGATGTACCGACCGCGACCTCTACTCTGTTGAGGAAGGCGAGGAGGTGAGGGGTCGATCCTCGCCGTGTAGCGATCGAGCTTTCTGGGGCATGCCCTTCGATAAGAAAGTAAACACGGACCTGAATCTGTTACCCCTCACACGTGGGGCGGCGTGCAAAGAAGGGGAGCTAACTGCCTGCGAGGCATTGATCCGGTTAGGCGAATGCAGGGACCATCTCAACAACGTTATCGAGCCAATGAAATCGGAGTATCCAGCAAAACAAGAGAGTAGCGATCGATACTCGCAAGGCTTTTGTGAAAGGGATTCTGATTCAGCGGCAGTGAAAAGCCGATCCAAGATGTATTATCCCCCTAATGGAGAGCCCCCGCTTAAAGTGCTTGTAACCGATGTCACCTGTAATTTCATCAAAGTAACGTTTGTGGAAAGTAACACCGAAAAAGGATTCTTCAGAAATTCGTTGGATACGAATTAATGTGTATATTTCACCATCACCTCATAGCAGTGAGTCAGAATATTCTACATTTCGCACTTTTGAGTCATCCCTGTCTGCCATGTGTGCAATCGACTCGCACGTGGATGTGCCGCCGTGTTCTGTGAGGGTCTGAACCTGTGGGTGAGAATCTCAAAATATGGAAGTTGTATTTTCGAATGGATATTTGTGACGATCATTTACAGATTCGTTTGTTCGAGATGGATAGTATATTTTGTGAGATTGGTAACTTTTTCCGAAAGCATATACGTCAAAATGTGTAAAGAATCTTCGATATTTAGATACAGAGGTTGAAAGTGGATGCAGAGCAATGTGCATAATAAACAGGATACATGAGAATGGACTGTGGAACGAAAGAATGACCAAAGACCAAACTTTAATAACATTTGTTGGGAAAAACAGGATATTTTGTACATATCAAATCTACGTGCTTGGAGAATTTATTACACAAGGGACATTTCGATTTTAGAAAATATATTTGTGTATGTAATTCGTGCCATACGCTGTGATGTGACCAGCCATGTACATGTACGTTTGGTGTACTTAACACAAGTGTTTGAATTAGACCATAGTAGAAATATACCCACCCATTGACATCCTCAACTGTGGACCATCTTCTGACATCTGCACTAATAAGTACATGCCTGGTGTATGTAGCTATGGACCATGCGCTCGTGATGCACGTGCATGACACATGTCAATTGCTTTTCAAGATGACAATCTCATCAGTCAATGTAACAAAACCATCGGCACCTTTTTTCCATCTGCACAAAACACACATTGGTGTAAGCTGGTGTAATGTGATAGTGTACATAAAATCTCTCTTCAAAATCAGAATCTTGATTATTTTGTCGTGTCATTTATTGAACAATTCACATTATTAGAATGCATACATAAACTGCCGGGCACAGTAAAGTATACAACTAAAAACGTCACAAGGCTGAAAACAGTCACGGAAACAGTCCAACGAAACACAACTATGGCACCCCTATCAATGGCACCCCTATCAAATACATCACATCTTTTAACCATTTCTTGTTTGTTTCATTTTAGCCACCATTAAACATGGGTGTATACCTTCTTTTGCCCGACAGTTTATAATAGACTTGACGGGACGGTCGGGTAGCCTAGTGGTTAAAGCGTTCGCCCGTCACGCCGAAGACCCGGGTTCGAATCCCGACAGGGATACAATGTGTAAAGCCCATTTCTGGTGTCCCCCGCCGTGATATTGCTGGAATATTGCTAAAAGCCGCGTAAAACCAAACTCACTCACTCACTTATAATAGACTTGAAGGAATCGGTGGTGATACTATCATATTGAGGATGACTGTATTTATATAGAATCACTGTTCATCCAAAACATCTAAAACGGGCTAATACAAAGCTTGACAGCTTTTCGTGTGGCATGCCATTTTCTACATAACGGTCTTAGCACTGTGCATCACAAGACACACCTGTATGGAACCTACAGACGTTTGACTACTCTTGGAGGATTTGGTGCCAAATTCCAGTCCAGACCCAGACGTTGTAATTAGTGTCATGTGAAATCGAAACGTTGTCTTTCTTACTTAGAGTAATCATTAACATCAAGATTGATCTACACGAAACAAGTTGTGTTGGCAGACAAATAGAATCCCTTGACTCAAACTTGCTGAATCTGCAAATTTTATCTTTGAGAAAAATAAATCAAAGAATTGTTGTAAAGATGGCGAGGGGAGATGATGAGTAATAAATGAACACAAATATGCTGTGTCAGCAATGAAGTACATACTTTTTGAACACATGTTTATGGGTTACAATCAGATGAAAAACATCGGAACAAGCCATGGTCATCGAGCCTTGCCTTGCGCTCAGTTTTATCATTGATTACATGTCAATCAATGCGGTGTGGGACACGTCGGGGCAGTGTAGCTTATACAACTACTAGGTGAATCCCGTTATTCAGGACCGCCCCGTCCAGCGTGAAATCTCAAGGAATATCAGATTTCCGGGTTAACGGTACTTTTGGTAATCGCTCTGAACCGGTTATACCATAACACTGTGAATGTTAGCCACGCTATATGCCTGAATTCCCCAAGCTTTGTGTCAGTGTGTATTGACACTGATGTATCCTCGTGCTATTTGTAGGCGATGTAATTCGCCTTGGAGAGTTGCGTCCCTTGGATCCACTTATCGTGGGTTCTAACGCCCGATTATCAACATTGATTTATTAACACAGTGCTCGTGCTCGTTGGTTTCATCGAATTGGTAACGTCTTCTACCGATTTCACACCACCGCGAAGGTTAATTACCCTCAGTGTACCCCAAGGTGACGTATGTGTGTATTTAGAGGTCAGTTTACCCTACGTTTCTTGTCTTGAAGGCTCTCCATGTCATACCGCCATATAAATGCAGTATTCTGGAATACGACGTTAAACCCCGTTTCAACTTACATAATTTATTCATTTCCGCGAACTCAGAAATTAGACGAAAGCTTAAGTACGGGATTATCCAAAGGGACAGAAATCTCAATGTGACACTTAGTACATGGCATCAACTGCAAACAAGCACAAGACCTTGACCTTGATCAAACTATCATTTCAAGCGCCGATTAGTCCCAAAATGGGGCTTACGTCATCGTGCTATTTTTAGCGTCCCTTGTGTTTTCTAAAACAAGCCCCAACTGGTAGTTGTAACAAGCGTCCTATGCAATTCCAGTGTGACCAACAAAGTCACGTGTTACTGTATGTCTGCCAGCCTTTTTGTGTCGCTCGATGGCTGCCTCTAAGATCAGGGACGTTCATATATTAGCCATAAGCCACGAGTCTTGTACATGCATCTATGTCGTGCTAGTGTCCTGTAGATGGAAAAGCGCTGAATCATTGACTCCCCCCCCCCCCCCCCCCCCCCACCCCCCCCCCCCCACCCCCCCACCCCCGCGCCTCTATTCTGCGATTTCAGATGGGGAAGAACACGTCACGGGGAACCAGGTATGTAGGTTGTGGCAGGTGTAAACAGGTAATGGGAGAGATCACTTATGGTATGGTTCCACAATCTAGGTCTAGACGTTGTTAATACCGAGTGACTGTGGAAACGGCGTCTGTGTAATATGGCTATCATTAATTTCATGTTGACATATGATAAATCTGAGAAGGTAAGCAAGTAAAATGATGTTTGACTTACGTGATTCCAAATGTAAAATTGTCTTTAACCAAGACACTCTTTAAGTTTATGTGTTTATTGACGCCGCACTCAGCAATATTCATGCTACATGACGGCGGTCTGTAAATACTCGAGTCTGGACCAGAGAATCCAGTGATTGACATTATGAGCATCGATCCACGCAATTGGGATACGATGACATGCACCAACCAAGTCAGCGAGCCTGACCACCCGATCCCGTTAGTCGCCTCTTAAGACAAGCATAGTCGCCTTTTACGACAAGCTTGGGTTGCTGAAGACCTATCCCATCCGGATCTTTACGGGTCGACACTCTTTAAGACAAGTTGGAGCAAATGCGTGCGTCAGCATCTAAGAACAACCAGTGCAGTGACTCACGTGCGACTGTCACCTTGTTTATGACCTGACGCTCAGGACACAGGAACAGGCCTCGTGAGCCGGTAGTCATGACTACATGGCTTATAAGCGGGACCTTATATAGTGCCCTGTCATTCCGGAAACCTTACATTCCAAGCTATAGCGCTACGGAAGATATTCGCTGCAACATATTTGTATGATGTTGAATTTAGTGGATACAACGTACCCCGAAACCTGTTACTCCGATTCAGGGGAAACTAACCCGTCCGAACTGACGGTGTTCCATTGTAAAACGATGGACGAGGGACGTCACTTTGGCTCTAGATACGATGTAGCTATAGACTGTCAATTGAGTTAGATCTGACCATGGATTAACATAAGTCAATATGTTTATATGTACCGTACTGGCAAAGTCCACACATCGTGGGAGATTGCATATGGACCACGCCCTTGCACTACCATTCGCCCGAAAGGTGTCAACCCTATACACTTTTTATGCTCAGTGAATGACCTTTTTATAATGAATAATATATATTATCAATATACCGTGTGTTTTTTAATGCAGACTGTGTGTATTATTTAAGAAATAAACCACTCGTGGTCGTTGTTTATCGTACAATAAAACACTGCTGGGAGAATAAACCATGAGGGGCGCAGACCCGAGTGGTTTATTCTCTCGCAGTGTTTTATTGCACGATAAACAACGATCACGAGTCGTTTATTTCTTATATGAGATATCATTACATACATTTTCTTTAATGAGGACGATAAATTGTACAAGCTTTATAAATATTTCCCCGTATTTAACTAATTATGACTCCCTCAATAGAATTCGACCTCGGCAATGTCGGACAAGTCCATTTTACGCACAGGTGGGTATTTCCCGCATATTCTCACAATCGACACGTCGATTCCCTGTATCGTTTCTCCCAATACCGATTGTCATATCGCTCCCGCTTTGGGATGCGATCATTCGGCTATCGCGTTTATCTGCGTAGTCTAGCTACATCTATGGGAACAAATTACTGGACACTCTCGACTCAAAAATAACGTCGTCATATATACGACGCCATCAAGCTGCGAGCGCATGTTCGAATCTCCAGACGTCATGATAGAACAATGTTTTATTGTGAAATAAACCACGCTTCGTTCTTCATCTTATATTTACATCTATGGTATCAGATTTGTTTGTTGTTTAAAGCCACTCAGCACGATCCCAGCTATATGACGGTGGTCAGTAAGCTATCGAGTTTTGTCGAAACAATCCAGTGATTGACAAAATGAGCATCGATCTACGCAATTATTTGGGCACGACATGCATCAACCAAGTCAGCAAGTGTGACAGCCCGATCCCGTTAATCGCCTCTCACAACAAGCATAGGTTGTTGAAGGCATCAGTACAATGAAACAGCCTATAAATAACTTTGGAATATGAAGACCTAGTAATTTTTTCATAATCGACAGTAATGTTGTAGTGAACAAAAGGCCCAATTCCCGAAAATTAATTATTCACACACATATATGCATACCGCCACCCGTGTTATGTCATTGACAGTGTTCGCGTGAGAGTTATCTACCCTGACCTCCCCGTGACTGGCCATGCGTGTGCCATTCGACCAGACAGCACGTGCCTTGCGGTTAAACACAACCAAATGTTTTCCTATAGTCTTCTATAGTAACGTTATGTTGTTGTTGTTTTTAAATAACAAAGGATTCAACAGCTATTGCCTGTACATGTGGGCACAGTCTGGCCTTAAATCAGCAATAAAATAAATAAAAAATGACTAGCTTAGCTAGCTCCTTTTCCGAGTACAGGAAGCTAAACACACTACCCCCTGAAAATGTCTGTGGTCACATTCAGCATAAGTCATCATGTTAAAAAGGACACACTAAATATAGGAAGACATAGTCAGTTTTAATTCCTGGATGCATGTACATTTAAAAAACATTAAAAAAATCTGATACAAACATCATCCAATCACAGCTGCCAGTTGATTCAATCTGCACTGAAGGCACTCTGCGAAAACTGCTTGTTGAACGACTGGTTTCGCTGGTAGAACCTTGAGTGAGAGCGTGGAGGGTTGACGTTTATTTTGTAATGGCATGCTTGGGAAGAAGAGAAGATCATTGATCGCACGCATACATGCTTGTCGCCAGAAACTGATTACACATAACAAGAAGGTTAGACTATTGAGTTAAAGAGGCGAAAAAATCTCTATAATGAAATCCTTGGTGACAATGTAACGGCAGCGTTGTCCCCTTGATAAGAGCAAGGGCAAAATATGAATGAAGACGTTTTCTTACAGATTAGCATTTTGACAGGGATT